AAAGGTCGGATACTTTTCTCACAGGCCTCGTATATGTATGTGTACGTAGTGTTATTTCTGTTTATTAGGTTAAATCCTTTATAAGTTTATTTTTACTGCCATCTACCGATCATTATAAAAGTAATCCCTCCTAATATCCAGGTATTCCACAATGGTCAGCTTATATTTTCGTGTTCAACGCTGCGTTAAAAACACTAAGTAAAATTAGAATTATAATTCTATTATTTTTGAAAGATAAAATTTCAAATATAAATGGATGTTATGAATAACTGACGTAAGAGTTTTGAGATATTTAGTCTTAGTTTTGTTATGATCAAATAAATATCGCCGAATTTATTTCCATGCGGAGAAACAAACATCAAATCATCATAGCTATAGCGCATAAGAAAGCTGCAACAACTTTTGAATAAGAGGTAACCTTTAATCCATTTATCCCATTGACGTCAGTATTGGAAAAGGTCATAGGTTGGTTCTGTGGTAGAATTCTGGATTTCGTAGCTGACAAGCTGGGTTCGAATCCGTGCGATATACCAAATAATTTCCCACGCTAAAGTTGTGGGTGTGTTATAAAAGTGACAGTCAATCCCTTAACGTGAATGTTGGGTGCTGCTGATTGGCTGCATTTCTTCTGGTCTGTAATTCAAAATTAATAACGACGTATATGGTTCTTACTACCTTTGTCATAAATATGAAATATAAATACTGTTGGGAAAAGATTCATTTCATATTGATCCGGAGGTCAATTCTTGAAACGAAAGGTCGAGTTGTTTTTTAATCATCCCATCAATATAACACTTCAGTTAGCCATTAGGTTTGTTTTATTGCCGCAAGATTTTTAAGTCATGCGTTGTTTTATGTTCCATTAAACTAGCGTTATGTAACTATGTTCTGTATTCTTAAAGTCATATGCTTTGTACTTAAACCTAAGTTTCTTTGTTATAATACCTCTAAATATTTTAATAATACTCCATAAATAAAGCGAGTCGCATACTTTTACTAGCAAATGTTTAGTCAGAATCCTATTTGACTAGCAGCAACTATTTAGAAAAAAGAAAGACATTCTAAAATGCTATTGTTAGAATATTCACCGTCGCAATCTTTTTAATGGCATTGCTATTTTTAATAGAATATATTACAAAAACGTTTATAAAATATTTCAAGAGATTATAGTAAATATGAAAAATTAAAGAAAAAAAACCAGAGTATTTGAAATTGCTTATTAGAGATTTTTGTCTTGTGGTTTTGAAATTAGATTTAAATATTTTTCTTTCTTTTTTTACTAAATTAGAGTTACTGTCAGAGGTATATATGCAGTTACTGCATCATAATTTCAGTGACTGTCACATACCAAAAGTTGTCCAACACTACCATCAAGTTTTTGGTGTTGAATTTAAAAAAGAACTGATTGACGGGAAAGACTTGGACAAATGAATATTTAAAGTAAGACGCAAGTAACTTACCTAAACAATTAATTTAATTTTAACGAATTTTTATTATTATTTTCAATTAACATAGCACTACTTATGTTGCTCTAGTCAAAAAGCTAAGACTTTCTGATCCAGGTCCATATTACGGACTGTAGAGCACTTTAGAATGAACTTAAATTCTATATGCATTCCTCGATTATACTTAATACGAGTTAATGAACTGTTTCTGAAATTGTAAAGTTACTTTTAAAGCAGACGACCATATATGTATATACAACGTCGCCAGTCTCCTAGTTAACCGTTTTGTCAATAGATGTCGCATGGATTTTGCATACTGTCTCCAAGTTCCTTGTTAAAAGTTTAAAAAAAAATGATGATAGATTTACATCAACAGGAGAGATGGTGGAATACAGAAGAGTAGTAGTAGTACCGGAGACATTTAAATTCCATGTATTTTCGAAAGCTATAAATATATATGTGTTCGTATTTGTTTAATTGTATATATTATCAACATAAATATATAATCAACCTGTCAATTTTTCAGTTTTAAAAAGTTCTCAAAGAATGATTCACACACATTTAAAAGACATCAAACAAAAAATTGATAAACTATGGAGTCAGAACACGTTACAAGAATGATTATCAATTTTACAACATAAATTTCTAATAAATGTTAAACTTATCAACTTACGATTGTAAGACAACAGCAGTTCAGCCTCTTCATCTTCGTAAATATCAACAGCAGAGACAAGATGAACCTGAGACAAGAACTTTTATATCGTAATTATTTCGTGGTGATAAAATATATTCTCGTCTATGAAAGCAATAAGGTGTTAGTCTATGAAAGGAATAAGGTGTTATCGGCTTCCTAGCTATTATATATATATATATATGTTTGCACTTCATTCTGGTAGGAATTATGTAAAAGTATTCAACATAGCACAAAAACTGAACATAAATATAGTAAAACCAGCGGAATCATGCTTAAAACACACACAAACACAACTTCCAAGCAATGTTATTTCTTTTATATATATATATTAATCTCCTTCATATATATTCTTACAATTTATATTTAATTTAATTTCTTTTCTCCTGAAATGCATAGCACACCGAAACTGACCCATTGCCTCTATTTTACGAAATGTACATAAACAAGACAGCCTGATTGAAAGAAAAGTTGGCATTATATTAAAAAACAAACAATAATACCCAAACGTATATTTCGTAATTATAAATTCCAATCGGAACATCTCTCGAACTTTCCCATGTATGTAGCGAAAAAAAAACAAAATATCGGGTTTGCGGAGTAAACATGATTCGAATATTTTTGATCACATTATCAAAATCTCAAATTCAAAATTAACACCAAATGTGCGACTAACAATAACACAGTTCCAGATGAAACTGAAAGACCGAAATTAAAACAAGTATACAAACAAAGTTACCTTTACCTAATTAAATAAACAAACTAAATTCCTATAATAACCAAACACGCAATATCTTGTTTAACCCTCGTAATTCACAAGGAGGAGAGAATTTGAATGATTGTCTCGCTAGCGTCATAAGCATGTGCATTACTGCCCAAGGGTTGTGACTTTCACGAAGACTTTCTAGTTTTCATGGCAAAAATAATCGCTCCTAGGTGAAACATGGTTACAGCACAATTATTTTACTCAAAAGAGTGAAAAATGTAACATTTAAACATTTTACCGGATCTATTTTTCTACGTCAAAATACATGTTCTTCGCTGAGCGTGTTTTTACTAGGGGTGACGGTAAATACTGAGCGATGTTCCGATTTAAGAAGTAATTTAGAATATAACCTTTCATGGTTTTGGAAAATTATGTGTATAATGTTAACATTAATCTCATTATGGCCAGGTGGTTAGGGCGCTTGATTCGCAACCTGAGAGTCGCGGGTTTGAATCCCCGTCCCATCAAACATCCTCGCCCTTTCTGCCGTGGGGGCGTTATAATGTGACGGCCAATCCCACTATTCGTTGGTAAAAGAATAGCCCAAGAGTTGGCGGTGGGTAGTAATGACTAGCTGCCTTCCCTCTGGTCTTTTACTGCTAAATTAGGGACGGCTAACGCAGATAGATTTCGTGTTGCTTTGCGCGAAATTCAAAACAAACCAAACCTTCGGCCAAAGAGTTCTTTTTTTCTTTTTACACAGTACAAATTACTCGCCCGCATTTCGGCTCTAATACAGGCATACAATTTTGAAAATCTTTAACAGAAATATCGGTTTAAATACGCCATTTTCACAGCAGTGGCAGCCTACCTTCTTAATTTATTCATGTCGCTAACTTTGTAATAATGTTTCCACAATTCTATAAAAGCCCTGACTCACACACCTTGTTTCCTTCCACACAGTGAAGTCTCAGTGAGTCGCCATTTTTCTCGTTAATCAGATCAAACTGGTGTTTGTAGGCTGCACATATCTGGTTGTCTCCACCTTTTATCGGACTGTCCACCAGAGTGATCAGTTGAGGAGGCTCCGCTACAGGAAGCTCCTAAAAGTTTTAAAGGTCTCATGAAACGAAAGAAAAGAGAGCACAGTAAAATAAAACCACTGAAAATACTGATTTCATACGGATACATATACAACAACTTACTAAATATTATTTTGAATTTTGGCAGTAAGTAATGAAATTCCACCAAATTTTCGAAATACTCAAAACTCGACAAAAATAATATTATCCTTGAAAATATTTAAAGTTTGTGTATGGGTTTATGTGAATGTAAATGAAGGAAAAACTAAACCTTTAGTGGAAAATTAACTGATTATTACGTTATCATGGAGGCTTTTAGAGCAAAATTCTTTTCTTACAAACACTCTTTTCTTATTCTTGCTGTTTATTTTAACAGTAAATTGTATCATTTTTTAAAGGTTTAACCCTGAATGTCATTCAGGCAATTATTTTCACGAGGAAGCTAATTTATGTTTTTGTTTTAGGGTAAAGCCACAGAACAGGCTATCTGCGCTCTGTCCAACGCGGGGATTCGAACCTCGGATTTCAGTGTCATACATCCGTAAACTTAGCGCTGGACGCATAGGGAACAGGAGACATATTTTCAGCACTTTGATTTTGTTTCTCTAGTTAAATTTTTTTAAGCATTTTCTATAGGTTGACATTGAAGTAATTAACATTGTCGTTCTGTGATTGACAAATAGGCAGAATATTCACTGTAATTTAGCGTGCTTAAAAATTCGCAAAATCAACACTTTTGTTATATTTGTAACAGATAAAACATTCCACGTTTCTAATGCATTCTGTAATTACAAACTGCTATTCTGTATCAATATTTTGATGTTTCAAAGATACTAATGGAATTTTACTCTAATTTTTGTTTAATCTTTATTTACAACTCCAGTTAATTTATATTTTTTTTGCTTCTCTCTCTCGAGCCAGACATGACCTGGTGCTTACGGACGCTCGTTTCCAAACATGCTCGCCCTTTCAGACGTAGGGGTGTTATAATGTGATGGCCAATCCCATTATTTGTTGGTAAAAAAGTAATCTAAGTGTTGGCGGTGGGTGGTGTTGACTAGCTGCTTTCCCTTTAGTCTATCACGTAAAATCAGTGAGACTAGCGCAGATAGTCCTCTAGTAGCTTTGTGCGAAATTCAACAAAACCTATCTCTCTATATACCTCTTTTATATTTCTGTTTCACTTACTGCCTTCTGAAATATTTATCTATCTGCTAATTTTTAATTTAAAATGTTTCGTGATTGTCTATACAGCTCTGTATTTCATCTTATTAGAATTTACCTACAATTGTTGATAGAACTAAAACAAGAAGATTTGTTTCTTTGTAACTGTATTCATTGACTCTCACGATCAGATAGTATGATTCATTTCTCGCGGCTTATGTATACAGAAAAATGGGAATCTGAATTATTTCGTGCTGCTTTAAGGTATAACTATACAACTTTAACGATACGAAATGTAGAATTTCACTTAGGGTTGGCGAAAAAAAAACCATCGGACAAAAAACACCTACCCTTAATATATATATATATATATATATACAGGGTGGGCCAAAAGTAGGGTTACAGTTACTCTATTATTTGTTTCTCCTT